TCAAGGTAATGTTTCCTTAGCACAAAGGAAGCACTTGTCGTTGTGCGAGAGAATCGAAACACCGAGCCCACTTCCTTCCATTTCTTCTCTGCAACCACCTGTTAACACCAGATCGCCATAGGATATCCATCCATTCAGATTAGAACCAGATTGAATTAAGATTGAACTGGACTAAAAACAGAGGGAAAATGAGGATCAGAATCGGACCAAAACATGTTTGGTTCGATTTGGTCCGGTCCAAATTCAGCTTCGTTCCATCTTTTTTTCATACATAAAATAATTCATAGTACCAAAACCAAATCAAATTATATTCCATCCGATCCAACTCGATCCAAATATCGATTTGGTAAGATTCGGTTCGATATGAATCGGATTGTTGTCCACCCCTATATACGATCATAACCAAACTAACACTGAAAAGAAATCTATGACAAAGTATATAATAACACTCGTAATATAAAATAATAATATACTTAATACTCATGCTCTAATAGTTATCCCATGGATTTCTTTGAATTGTGACATATTCGATTGATTGGAAGGAGATCGAGGGGAAAAATATACCAGCATGATAATTGATAAATTTATGACAAATTATATTAACAATGAAAAAAAGAAAAGGAACCAAATTACCTTCTCAAAACCGCCCCTTTTCGTGGCCTCAATATAGAGGACATGCAAATCCAGGTATTTCCCTCCAATCACAGGAATCCTTATGAACCCAAAACAACAACAATGAAAGAAACAGAGCAAGCAACATCGTTACAAAGATCGAAACTTCATTGTCGGGGAAAAAAGGATTTAAGAGTGTTTACGAGAAGGTGGTTCCCATGAGGAAATGGAAGCGCCTGAGAGTGCTCCAGAAGGCCACACCATCTTCAACTACAACCTCGTGGGCTGCCAACGGAGCAGGGTAGAACTTCCTTATTACTTCTCCTCCTCTTCCTCCTTCCTCCCCTGACCGTACCCGTCGTTTCCTCCCCGCCGGCGACATTTGTTTCTCGCCGGAGCAAGATGGGAAAGGCAGGAAAAGGACGAACTGGGATAGAGAGAGAGGGGGGTTTAGAGAGAGAATTGATGAGAGGAATGGTAGTGAGGAACAGAAGTGGGTAGTTATGGGAAAGTTAAATAGTGAATTTTTTTTGAGAAGGGTGATTTACCGGGATAAGACTGGCAATTAAGAGACATGAAATTTTTCTTTCGTCGGTTTTTTGTATGTGTAGACTGGCTGCTGCAGCTGTGTGTGTAAGAAAGAGCAAAGTAGGAGTCCCGCTAAGAAAAGGAGAGAGGTGACGCGTGGGATGTAGCGGTTACGCCAATTTGGATTTTTTTGCATTACCTGGGAAAACAAATTATGTTTATTTAATTTTTCCGAAGTGGCCGACTAACAAGCAACTAAGGAAAGAGTCTTTAATCAACGACTAATATTAATACTTTATATTATTAATTAATCTTGGTTGGGTGTTTAAGCCTTAAGAGAATGTATTTGAAATATCCATGAACACATTTAACAATAATTTATTTGAAGTAAATTGACTGCGAAGTAATAATGATATATGATATTGATACTTTTTTCCTATTCTCCACAAGGAAAAAGAGTTGTGTGACAATTAATTTTTACAATTAATGAAACAAAACAGTAATTTAGTAATCTGAGTTAAAATGAGAAAGTCTATAATACTTGAGCCGTTAAAAATTATTTTGACCTTGGTAGGTGAGAAGTTTTGTACGCTCTACACGTGTTCTGCTTTTTACAAATGTTCTTTCCAGCACAATTTCATGGTTTGACAACTGTCCGCACTAAAAGTAACGTACACAAAGATTTGTTATCTTACGATGTTTATATACATTTGATAATTGATTCCATTAGAGCTACCATATATGCATTTGGGAAGAGGTTGGTAAACCATTAATTTTTGTAAAACGGCCGAAACAAATTGCTGACCTGTAAAGTGCGTAAATCGGCTAGATTTGATTGGGACAAAAAGCACTGCATGGTCGACAGGTGTCCGACGTTTTCATATTTTACATGTATAACTATATTTTTATATGATGTTACTTACCAATATGTTGTTTTACCAAATCTCCATTTTTTTATGACGAGGAAAACCTTCCACGGTCACCACCTTCAGTGATGTTGGACCAAACCCCGGGATCTCCGCCAGCATTCAGGCCAAATGCAAAGTGCCTCCTGAAACACCATAGAGGCAGGAGGCGGTGAGGATCGAACCTGGGACCTCCAGGTGATCACCAGTCGCCTCCCTTACCACCGGGTAGGGCTGGATTTTCGGTTATCTCGGTTATAACCGATAACTGAAATATCGGTTACCGGTTAACCGCGAAGCCAGACACGCCTACCGCCAACCGGCCGACGGATTCCATCGGTTATCCGACAACCGACCGGTCGGTTACCATATAGTTGCTCGGTTAACCGAGATAACCGCAACGACACAGTTGGCTCGGTTATAACCAATTAACCGAACCGGGCAGCCCCCTATACAAACAAGCTCGCTAAAATTGCCTAAAATTAAACGTTCAACCCTACATTTCTACATCTAAATCACTCCACAAGTCAAGTTTCAATAATTTTTGCATAGAAAATAGATTTAAATCACCAAATTAATGTCTCAAATACTTGAACATTAGGTCATAAACTTCATAAAGTCACAAATTACAATAGATCCAATCCAAATAGCATAGCATCAACAAGTCACCTCCAAATCATCACTTATCAACAAAAGAAGAACCAACATCTACATAACCCTTTTCTTTCAATTGCGGCAAGGGGTCATGACCAACATCGTCATATCTATCTTTTTCATACTCTTCCTCCGGCACATTTTTTTTCACCCTCCTGCTCATTCCCATCTGGAATGTTCAGACTTGCATCTACATTGGCAACATTGCCAACATCACTTGCACTTTCCATTCTAGAATGGAAAGTGGTATTAACTGAGTAAGAAAAAAGAAAACAAATTGTTAGAATATTCACACATTGAATTAGGTAGAAAGAAATAGTATATGTTTGCTTGAACAAACAATAATTAAAAGAGTTTTAGAACTTACCACTTTCCAAATCCATGATCTCTTCATCATCTTCCCTATCGTCATTCTCTCCGACCCTGGTAGTTTGATACTTTATCCCATCCTTCACACAAAACAATGCCTCCAACATGATATCACTCAAAGAAGACCTGAATGGACTGAGAATCCGACCGCCACAATTGAAGGTTGCCTCTGAGGCAACAGAAGAGATGGGAACAGCTAGGATATCCTTAGCCATCTCAACAAGAATCGGATATGTTCCAGAGTGTCGAGACCACCAACTCAAGATGTCAAACTTGACATCATCACTATCCTCATTGATGCCTTAAGTTTGACATCTTAAATAGATGTCAAGCTCAGCAGAGCTACCTTCTATATCCTGTAGAATTGCTTCCCTTTTCCTCTTCCTAAGCCTCTCCTCGAGCGGCTTAATCCTATCACCACCAGTCGTGCTCTCACCAGTGGTAGGCTTAGATGTAGAGGAGGGTGCTTTTGATCCATACTTCCCTTTGTAAACCTCAAACAGCTGTCGCATTTCCGACCTAATGCAGTTAACCATTTCTCCTCCCTTCACATTCCCATACATCATTGCCAAAACCTCAGACACCAAATCAAGTTTACTTCTTGGATCAAGCACACATGCTATATAAATTAAGTGCTTCACCTTCATGTTCTTCTTGTTCACAACACATGACTCAAACCAATACTTTTGTACCTTTTCCTCAACCTTCTCAGACATCTTTTGGATCTCTTCATGCAGATCATTCTTCAATTGCTCAATGATGTCATATACCGTAACAAGCTTCTTGAAGAAGATATGGATAGACACATATTTAGTTCATGTACAATGAGAAGATAACACAGAAGATTAGAATAAAACAAATAGAAATGGGCAAATGGTTAAAATTTTTAAATAAAACAATGCAATTCATAAATTTAACTTACAAGAGACTAGAAGGGTCAAGTCATTGAAGACTTTCAGATAGTCTTTCAACTTCCTAACCATCTGCCAATCTTTATTAGTTGGAAGCCCACCTCTTGAGTCAAGATCATCTCTAAGAGAATGATCGTGTGGACTTGAATACAAAGTTGTAAACACTGTATCAAAAATTTCTGCTGACTCTAACATGGTATAGGTGGAGTTCCACCTGGTCGGTACATCCAAAGACACCAATTTGGTTGACTCCACATGCAGAAATTCCATGCCATTCTTGAACTGTAACAACCTAGCTGGTGAAGACCTCACCCACTTCACACAATCCCGAACTATGTCCACAGCACCACCAACCACTTTCAGTCCATCTTGTACCACCAGATTAATGATGTGTGCAACACATCAAAACTGCAGAAACTTCCCATCCATCAAATCACACCCCCACTCATTTAGCTTCGTTCTCATGCACTCACTGACAACATCATTTGAAGTTGCATTGTTCATGGTCATGCAGAACAGATTCTTCACCTTCCACTCTTCAAGAACTCCTGCAAGCTTCTCTGCAATATCAACTCCAGTATGATTTGTGATGGGAACAAAGTCTATCACCTTCTTCTGCTACTTCCAATCACCTCCAATAAAGTGAGCAGTAACACACATGTAATTCTTGTTGTTATCAGAAGTCCATGTATCCGTAGTGATAGAAACTCTTCCTTGTCTCCTTGATTCAAAAAAATCAATTAAATCCATCTTTTTATCCAAGAAGATACGAAAGCAATCATCTCTTATAGCTTTCCTCCCGGGTATCCTAAACAGTGGCTGAACAACATACATGAATTTCTTAAGTCCTTCCCTCTCCACAAAGCGAAATGAAAATTCATCCATAATGATCATACTAGCTAATGCATATCTAGCTTTTCCCTTATCAAACTTCCATAAACCACTTACTTGACCACCTTCTGATGTCTGCAATACTGTCTGATTTTTTATTGCTGCCAACTTAGGCAAACATGAGTGCATGTGGTTATTCATTGCAGTGGTCCCATTTTTGTGAGGATGAGCTTTGATTAGAGTATGACAGTGTATGCACTCTCCCATTGGGTAGCTGTCAACTATCAGCTTCTTAAACACCTTCCAACAAGAAGCTTTACCCACCGTCTTCAACCATTTCTCGCATTAAAAAATGTCTTCTGTAGCTTCTCTGAATCAAGAGCGCCCGTGTCAACAGAAGGAGTCTCGGCAGGTGTACTTCCACTATCGACAGGGGCGGGAATCAATGGACTTGATGAAGACGGTTCAACTTTAGTAGCTTGAACAAGTCGACTTCCTTTACGCCCACCACGACCCCGGGTCTGAACAAGAGCAGTCGCACCACCACGACCTCGACAAGCCGAAGGTCTCCCACCACGAGGAGCAGTCACAGCAGTAGGGACACCTCGTCCGCCACGCCCACCACGAGGAGCCGGAGGTCTCGCCCTCCAAAAACAATTACACAAATTGAAACTCAATTCAAAAAAATCATCTAAATCAGTGGCCATAATTCACACACATAACACTAATTTCTCTAACAACAAGTACAAGCCTGTCCTGCTGTCCAAAAGTACAAGCCATTTCATTAACAATTTAACATGATATACTTTTGAATGTCGAAAAAGAATTAATACCAAAGAAATCTTAGTGTAAATCAAGGAACAAATCCAATTAGAATTTGAAAAGCAAATCAATAATCTATAGAAAATTTTCAACGAGGAACAACGACGAAAAATTTTAGTCCCTAAATCTAGGCCAAATCAGGATGCTAGTGGAGCTAGTTGCGACCGCACAGTGCCATGCCTGCCCACAACTCACAAATTCACATCAGATTGAAAGTTTGAAACTAAAGAAGTCACAACTTACATCAGATTGATCAGAGGGGAGGAACCGAGGAACAGCGGCCGCTGCTGGCTGCTCGTGGACTGGTCGGCGGAAAAGGAGATGGAGGAGCAGCAAGGGCGCGGGTCGGGGAGGGAAATGGCGGAGAGCGGAGGCGTCGTGGAGGTAGATGGCGGAGAGCGGCAGCGTCGGGGAGGGAGATGGTGGAGAGAGGGGGAGTCTCTTTGCCGTCGACTGCGTCATGGAGGGAGATGACGGAGAGCGGCGGCGGCGGGGAGGGAGATGGCGGAGAGCGGCTGCTTCGGGGAGGGAGATGGCGGAGAGAGGGGGAGTCTCTTCGCCGAATCGCCGTTCAGGGTAGGCGATAGGGAGAGTCAGGACAGGCGGGGGCGGCAGGGGAGAGAGCTCGCGATGCAGAGAAGAGAAAGGGGTTAGAGGTTAGGAGTGGAATGGTGGATCGATTAGGGTTAGGTTGGAAGTGGGTCGGCGTTGTTTTATGAGGGGCTAGATGCGTCGGTTAGTCATTTTAACTGACGGTTATCACTGTCGGTTAGCCGGTTAACCGGCCTATCTAACCCCGCTACCGCACACATTTATTTCGGTTAGTCGATTAACCGGTAACTGCTGGTTATTGGTTTAACCAGATGGTTAACCGCCAATCGATAACCGAACCTCCAGCCCTACCACTAGGCTATGTGACCTTTGGCCAAGGGCTAGGTTGCGGAGCCTAGTGCGTCACAAAAGTGTTCGGGCCTGATAGGAGCCCACAACTGGCCCCAGAGCAGGGCGCATAACGATAAACAAAGCGTTCATCCTTTTTTTTTGTCAAAAGATACCATATATTGATCCAAACAAATAGATAGTTACATCCTGGAAGCCAGCCAGGCCCGGAAATCAAAAAAGCGACTCACAGTCGGATACAAGGAGAGGGCTTTTCTAGCTACCGAATGAGCTACCCAATTGTTATCCCGACCTATAAATCGCACACTAAACCCAGAGTGGGCGCGAAAATAATGACCTATCTCTTCAAGGACCGCACCCAACCGGTTATCCCTTGAGTGAGTGTGATTAACTTTATCAGTAATTACTTTCGCATCGCCCTTGAACCGGACCTCCGCCAAGCCACACTCTAAACACCAAACAATCGCTTCACTAAGCACAAGCAATTCCAGCCATGCCCGAAAAGTCCCAGAGAGCCCGCGCAACCGGGCAATAAAGAAACAGATGTTCCATCTTCTCCGGGCTATCCCAGCAAACCGGACATCGGGGAAGCACCGAGACTTTTTTCTCAATGAGCGCCTCGGTGGTCGGAAGGGCCCGCAGAAGAATTTGCCAGATAAAGACCTTCAGCTTTGGAGGGATCTTAGCTTCCCACAAATGGATCCAACTTCGCTTATCCATCAAACTAACCGAGGACCGCCACCCTCCCCTCCTCCTGTCCAACTCAACAGCCACTTAACCGAGAAAACCCCATCTACCGTGCTATGCCAGATTAGTTTATCTGCCACATTCTGCCGCGGAAGCGGAACAACCTTTATGGCACGGCAGGTAGACGGATCAAACCATTGACTAAGTTTATCATCAGACCAACGCCCTTCCCCTTGACAGATAACCTCTGCCACCGAGGGGTCACCCTCTTCTGGTAGGATCAGTGGATTATAGTGAGGTGGGTCTAGTTGAAGCCCAGGAATCCAATTAGAACGGAGAAGAGAGACCGAGCGGCCATCGCCAACCTTCCAACATAAGCCCATCTCCAACAACTGGCGCCCAAAAAGGATACTCTGCCACCCCCATGTGATCTAGCCATTGCGCCCATGAAGGTTCCCCGATGGAAGTATTTCCCTTTATACACCCGGGCAAGGAGGGAATGAGGCTCATGGAGAATACGCCAGCCAATTTTTGCTAAAAAAGCTAGGTTAAAATGCTCAAACCGACAAAATCCCATACCCCCATCATGTTTACTCCTGCACATATTGCGCCAGGACACCCATCTAATCTTATGGTGGCCCTCATTAGCACCCCACTAGAACCGGGCCACATGTCTATACAATAAACGACAAAGAGAGAGGGGTAACCGGAAGCACGACATAACATGCAGGGGTAAAGCCAACGCCACTGACTTAATTAATGTTTCCTTAGCCGCCCAGGACAATGTCCTTTGCTTCCACCCCTGAAGTCGCTCTATTAATTTCTCCTCCAAATATCTGAACGTAGCCATCTTGGTTCTGGAAACCAGCGTAGGTAATCCCAGATACTTATCATGGACCCCCACTGCGCCCACCCCTAGAATCGTGGCCAAGAACTCTTGATCTTCCAGGGCTATATTTTTGCTGAAGCACACCGCAGATTTCTCCAGATTAACCCATTGACCACTCAGCTCCTCATATTCATTCAAGACCTCAATTAAATTCTCGCACTACTGGAGAGAACCTCGCAAGAATAAATAAGAATCATCCGCGAAGAAAAAATGAGAGGTCCTTGGAGCACATGGAGCCACTTTTACCCCCTTCACCTTCTTCTCCGAGATCACTTTCCGAAGGAGAGCTGCAAGCCCCTCCGTGCAGAGCACAAACAAGAAAGGCGATAGCGGATCCCCCTGGATGAAGTGAAATATCCCGAGGGAATACCATTCATCGGGATAGAAAATGACGAGGAACGAAGACATTCATGTATCCATCCTTGCCAGACAGAGTTAAAACCCATTTTATCCAAAACCGCTAGAAGGAAGGGCCATTCGACTCTATCATAGGCATTTTCCATGTGAACCTTTAGAGCCATGTACCCCTTCCCCTGTTTTTTTATTTTCAAATAATGCATTAACTCATGTCCTAGAAGGATGTTACAATAATCTATCGGTCTCTTATAAACGTGTTTTGACCCTCATAGATGATCTGGGGGAGCAGACCTGCAAGTCGTTCAACCATGATTTTGGTTATCATTTTATAAACAAACTGACAAAGGCTAATTGGACGCAATTGTCTGATAGTTTCCATAGAATCCACTTTAGGAATCAGAGTGAGCCATGTATGGTTAAAACTCCGCAACATCCGGCTCGTTGTAAAGCAAGAGCAAACTGCTTCGATACCGAAGTGCCCACAATATCCCAGAACGCTTTGAAAAACTTTCCTGTGAAGCCATCAGACCCCGGGGTTTGCTTCGACCCCATTGAAAATACCATTTTCCGAACCTAACTGGGCACGACCTCAACCGTCAATTGTGCATTCATTTGCGGAGTAACACTATGGGCAATGGGAAGATTCGCCACCCTAGTAGTCATATTAGGAACCTGGGTCTCCAAGGTGAATAGATTCTGGTAAAAGTCAGTAGCAATAGTCGCTTTCCCACTTTCCTCAGTGACCCACTCACCCTCATCATTTCAGAGCCCAGAAACGAAATTCCTTTTTCGACGAGCTTGTGTGACCGTATGGAAATATGAAGAATTCTGATCTCCTTTTTTTGACCATTGGACCTTGAATTTTTGCTGCCAGTATATTTCCTCCGCCTCCCACTGATGGGACAACTCCATTTCCAAGGTCCTGATTTCATCCCAGTCCACCGAATGGATCGATTTTATCCGGTCAATCTCTGTTTGGAGAGTCTTGATATTACATAGGGAATTCGAAGTGCCAGCCCTGCTCCAATCATAAAGCAAATGGCGGAGTTTCTTTAGACCCTCCCAGAGGCGATACATAGGGGTGCCTTCGATCTCCTCTTTCCAGACATAGTGGACCATAACCTTTACATCCAGATTCTCCGCCCATCGGGCATCAAACAGGAAAAGGGGTCGACTACTACGAGTATACGGTTTATCAACGAGGAGAAGGGCACGATGATCCAAACACTGGTCCGTAAAATGTTTGACCAGATTCTCCGGATAGGTGTCAATCCAGGCCTGGGAGCACAGCGCCCTATCCAGACGTTTCCGAATGCACGCTACACCCATACGCTTGTTCGTTCATGTGAATTGATCCTCTTGATAGCCAGGGTCATGGAGACCCAGATCATGAACAAAATCACGGAGACTAGTGGCTTGGGCAGCGTTCCACGCCAGACCCCCATCTTTTTCACCCTCATGGAGAGTGGTATTAAAATCACCTATGATCACACAAGGGTGGTTGATATTCGCGCAAACATCCCGCAGCTGAGCTAATTGAATAACTCTTATTGCAACATTACAGCTAATGTAAACAACTATCACAACATAGGAAAAATCTCATTCATTAATTTGCGAACAAATATAGAAATTGGAATGAAACATCACCGAAGTGTCAACCCAGGGGACCAAGCTACTACTAAACCACCCAATGCATCGAATGCATCAACAAAGAAACAATGCGAAATAGCAAAACCTAAACCCCGCATACGACGGGACACGACATGCCGGCTCGATCGCGTTTCAAAAAAAAATACGAGATCCGGTTTATTAGACTGAACAAGCCCTACAGCAGTTTGGAACGTGAGGAATGGCCCAATTCCTCTCACATTCCAGGCAAGAAGCCTCATTATCGGTTGGGGGCCACTCGAGGCTGGCTTCCTCCACCTTGTCCAAACTATCAGATGCTTCCACAAACTGCTTCTTTGGGGTAGGAGGGTTACCCACATCCCCATC